ATAATCATAAAGAAATTGAAGGCACAGAAACAGTATATAAATATCCTCCCACTTATGATTTAAAAGGTGCGCACACACACACACACACACACACACTTAGATAAACAACCACATCTGCTTATTTATCATGGACTGTCTGTGGAAGAATAATAAGGGAGAAACGTAAACATTGTCAGGAGACGAGTGGGGGTATGAAGGTCAAGAGGACATCATAAACTTAGTCCCCTCTCCCCATTATTTTAAACCAGGTTTTTTTTTTTAACTCTACTTGTTTATTTTGAACACACATTTATACATGCATGTACACACAGCTGCAATGACTTTGAGATCTCATTGACAAATAATTGATTGACTCAGCCAGTAAATATTTATCCAGCCCTTCTATTTCTCTTTTTTTGTGAGATGGCCTGTGTGGCATTATTCACACAGAATGAACTCAGAACCTGACCAGCAGGTGCCCTTTGGGGCTGGGAAGATCCCAGGGTCCTCCTTTAGAAACGGGGAGGGCAGGCCTGAGCTCTGGCCCGTGACATAGTAACAGCCTTGTTTCCATGGTGTGGCTTACAGTTTGCTAAGAGAAATGACCAAAATGGACCAGAGCTTGGACGGATTGGACGATAAAGACAAGGTTTGCTCTGAAACTCCTCAAACTGACTTCCTTCACAAAGTGGACACCAAAAAATGGGTAAGCAAGACACATCTCCTATCTCAATGTGGTGAGAATGAGGATTTCCTCCCAACAGGGACAAGACTTCAGAGCTTGAAACCAGGAGGGAGGCAGGGGGTGGCCTTACTGTCACTGTAGTCTGTGGTTAAAACATGAGGTAATTGCTAGTGTTCTCGTGGGGGAAAAAATGTGTATTATGTGTTATTTTTGTCCCCGGTGATTTATGAAATAACTAACATTTTTCACCTTAGAGAAGCTTGCTACATGAAAAACCACTCTGTGCTTGCAGATTGTCTTTCAATAGACTTCACCGCTATACCCTGGATTTAATCTCTCAGGGAGAATCCATCTTCTTCCTCCTTCTGGTGGCTTTAGGTCTTCACTGGCTTGCAGCTCATACCTCTAGTCCCTGCAGAGGCCTTCTCCCCTGATGCTATGCTTTTCCTCTTCTGTCTCTCATTGAGATATTTGTCATTGGATTTAGGACCCATCCAGGTAACCCAAGATGGTCTTTACTCAAGATCTTTAACTTAGTTACAGGTGCAAAGACTAAAGAGTCTTTTTCCAAACCAGGTAATATTCACAGGGTCCTAGTATCAGGACACAGATATGTCTTTGGGGGCTACCACCTAACTTGTTGCATTATGTGAACTAGGATGAGTCATTAATATGAATGGCCTAGAGGATTTCAAGTGCCTTTATTCACCTCAAATCTATCATGAGAATGAAAAGAAATAATTCACTTGACAGTGATTTGTAGAGTTATGTGGGTGGGAGTTATCCTTCCTGATTCCGCCAGTACTTTATGCAGATACTTCAATAAGAAATTTGTCAGTTCTCCCTACTCCAAACTTTTCTCTTTCCAGTTTAAAAATAGTTTTGCTGAAATTCAGGAATTTCAG